GTTTGATTTCTGTGGTGGGTGCGGCTCCGTTGTGTAAAGGTGGGGGGAAAAGGGCAGCAGGTGTCATCACGTGTCTCGTTGAAATATGTCGGTGAAGTTTTGAGTAACTGAGAACTCCCCAGAAAAGGAGTTCCTCCTAAAAAAAAAGTCAAGGCACACCCTAAATTTTATTTTCTTTTTTCTCCACCAGACTATTAGCCCCAGACTGTGAAATCATACAAGAAGTGGGAAAACTCTATCCGCTGGAGATAGTATTTGGAATGAATGGAAGAATTTGGGTAAAGGCAAAAACCATACAGCAGACTTTAATTTTGGCAAACATTTTAGAAGCTTGTGAACACATGACAACAGATCAAAGAAAACAAATCTTCTCCAGATTGGCAGAAACTTGATTTAAGTGGACTTTTAATGGGCCAGCTGAGCCAAAAGACTGTGGGTGTCCTGGGGCAAACTCAGGTCAACCTCTCCCTATTAAATCTTAAGACAAGATGTGAATGTATGTGTTGTCTTTTGAAAGTCCTAATAAAATATTTTTATAAGAACATTGCTGGTTTTCACTCATTCTTGTGGGAGAGAAAAATCATTATAAAATCTTGATTTTTTTTTTAATGTATAATTTACTAAAATGTTAGTATTATGTTTTTAGTTATTAACTCCCCTAATTTTGCTAGAGTGCTGCTGCTTCTACACTAAATGAAGTCAGCACTAGGAGCCAGCAGGTGGCATGGTGAGTAAGGATGTCTATCCCTCTTTGATCAAACTAAAAATAAAATAAAGTTAAATAATTCTTTAAAAATAAAATTGTTTTCTGACAATATCAGTAAAAGATGTTTACCAAAGAGAATGCAGAATACATTAAAAGTATAAACAAGCAAACAAAAGCCACCCATAATTGCATTAGTGAGTGACTGTAACAGCGGACAATTATGTTTACCATGTACCAAGTATTGTCCCACGTGTTTCACATGGATTAATTAATTTTACTATTTTCTTACAAGACCACTCAGCAGATGAACACATTTAAGAGATTTTTTTGCTATAGGGCGTGTGCACCTGCTAAAGACACAGACAGAAGGGGAGAAATCACCTCCCAAAGGGTATGGCCAAGCAACAATTCCTTCTCCATTCTCTCAGGACTTTGGACACACACACACACACACACAGAGAGAGATGCCTGGCATGAGTTTTAAGTTGCCAGGTCCAGAACTTGAACTGGGGTTGACTGTGGGAGTCCAACAATGTAACCATTACACCATCTGCTGGTCCATTGTATTAGAATTTTTCTTTTTTCTTTTTTTTTTTTGAGAGGTTTTTGCTATAGGGCATGTATGCTCACAAGAAATAGAAAGCGAGAAGTCACTCCCCAGGGATGGCCACACCACAGTCCCTTCTCTATTCTCCTCAGAATCCTGGATACATGTGCACATGCACCATGCGTAAGTTTAAGCCACTGGGTCTGGGACTCAAACCGCAGTCGACTACATGGGAGTCCAGCAAACACAGCCATTAGGCCAACTGCTGGTCCCCTGTGTTAGAATTTTTTTTAAATTTTGCTATGTGTGTGCTCGCTGGAGAGTGACAAGGAAAGTGAGAAAGCACTCTCCTGGGCGGGAAAACACCGTAGTCCCTTCTCCTTTCTTCTCTGGATTTTTGGCACACATGTACATAGGCTCAGCACATTTTTCAGGTCTGGAACTCAAACTGCACAGTAGACTATGTGGGATCCAACCCCTTAACCATCATACCCCCTCGGCTGGCCTCATGTTAGACTTTTATCAATACTGCTTTTCTGCTTTACAATTTGATCTGCTAATTATATAAGAAAAATTTAGTTTGTACAAGGCTCAGGGCTCAGAAGGATACAAAGATACTCATACAAATTGTCCTAGTAGAATCCTATTATCAGGAAGAGAGAAGGCCTCCATACTCATATGCAGAACAGAAGGATTAACAGAATAAGGGCCAAAGAAGGGAACAAATTGCTTTGGAAACTCAAAATTAGGGTTAAGTCAGGACAAGCACAACTTGCAGAACTTATGAATGGGATATCACTGATAGAAAAAAAAAAAAACAACAACATCAAAAGAGGCTAGAGGAAGTCATAATTTTAATGCTAGCTTAGTGAAAAATGAAACTCTTTATATAACAATAACAACCTAACTCTAAAGATCTTTCAGAAATACAAAACACACATAAGTGAATTAACAGATCCAAAGTCATGTGGTTTGGAGGCTAACTTCTTGCTATAAAAGGCTTCTTGTATTTAATACGTATCTGGGCACTCCTATGATCCAGGCACTATAATCGACACAAAAGAACATAAAATATGGTCCCTGTCATTACTTTAGCTTATGTAAGACGATCCAAGAAGACATCAAGTAAAGGAAAATATGTGCCACCACCCTCTGCTCTTTGGCCAAAGCATCTCCAGCACTTCTGCCTGCATCTGCAAACAGATTGTTCATCATTCCACTGAATTCCGAAGAACGTAGCCTTTTCCCAAAGAAACTCCTCTCTTCAACGCTTCAGGCCAGTTGTGAGTCTCAAAGTAAGCGGACAGGATATCAAACACTGTTGGAGGGAAAAGAAAACACAATGACCACACAAGGAAAAAGAACTAGTACATGACCGATAAGGAAATAAATGGATGTTCTGGAATATTTTATTCAACCTACTCTGCATCACACGTAGTACTAGGTCCTGTGAGGAAAGTGGCAAAGAAATGCCCTGGTTACGTGCAGCGACCTCAGCCTACACTGAGACAAGACTGTGAATGGACAGTGTTCCACAGAGAGGAGCACAGGAAAAAGGGAACACAGGACGGGCCCTGACATGGGTGGGGTACAGAAGCCAACCAAGAAGGTCCCTTATGGATGAACTGAATCTGAAGAACAAATAGGAATTCAATGGTCAATGAGAGGTTGAAAGCAGAACATTCTAGGCCAAGGGGACAACTTCAACTACCTTTAATGTAACAGGACCAGGAAGAATATGAGGACTCCTCCCAGAGGCCAGAATACACATCACAAAGTACAAGCAGTAAAGTCCAAGCACATCAATCACAGAATAGACTGAGTTGAGGGCCACCTAAACACAACACAGTGCAGCAGCACCAGAACTAACACACACTGGGTGTGGGCCCTGGGACCAGCAGTACCTTGATTGATGGCCAATATCTCCGAATGATAGTTCTTCCCGTTTGGGTGTCTGACCATGTATTCCTGGATTGGTAAGCGGGCTGTCTTGACAGAGTATTCCTGGGCCTTCTGAAAGGTCACCTTCTGTAAATCACAGTATTTTTATTATTACAAAAATGATACACGAATATAATCTGATTATAATATGCATAGCAAATTGTAAGAATCCCTATTTACCACTACTCCAATTTCCATCTGTAATCATAAAAGATAAACACATTAAGAAGAAGTCTATGGTAGAACAGAAGAAACTGCTGATAATAAAGGATGCTTGTTCCAAGAAAGAAATGGGCCACACTTCACTGTTGCTCGTTTTTGCTTTTAGAGGAGAGGGATCGTTATCAAAAGGCTCCCACTTACTAACACAACCAAGGAGGAAATAAGCAAAAGGGGCACATCTGCAGCCATAGTCGACATTAAAGGGCCCAAGCAGGGGCCAGCAGGTGGCATGGTGATTAAGGCACTGGACTACCCCATGGCCAAGTGTGGTTCAAGTACCAGACCCTGCAGCTTGAAACACACCAGGTGTGCAAGTGTATGTGCCCAAGATCCCAGGAAAAGAATGGAGGAAAGGGAATTGTGACATGGCCACCTTCCCTCAGTTATGATTTCTCACTTTCCCTCTTACTGTCTTTCTCTCTGGAGAACTCATGTGTCCCATGGCAACAACCTTAAAAAAAAAAAAAAAAAAAAAAAAAGGTCCCAAGCAATCTAATCAACCAGAGGAGAACACTCCTGGCCCTAACTCAGGCCTGATTCTGATGCCCAGAGTTTTCAGCTCATGCCAACTGCTAGCATATTAGAGAAAAGGGAGGCAGGATTTAAGACAGGTATACTAACTACTGCAACAAAGTGGTATTAAGATGTCAGAACAGCAGTTGGCATAATGGCTATGTCAATGGTCTCCCATATAGTCGACTGCAGTTCTAGTCCCAGGCTCGGTGGCTTAAACTCACGCCAGACACACGTGCGTGCGTGCCCAGGATTCTGAGAGGAGAATGGAGAAGGGACTGTGGCATGGCCATCCTCCCTGGGAGGTGATTTCTCGCTTTCTGTCTCTCTGTCTTTCTGGCAACTGTGTGCACCCTATACCAAAAACTTCTAAAAAAAAAAATGAAAAAGATGTTAGAAGGGAACCAGCAGTTAGCGTAATGGCTATGTCACTGGACTCCCACGTAGTCGACCGCGGTTCGTGTCTCGGACCCGGTGGCTTAAATCTCACGCCAGGCGCGTGTGCGTGCGTGCCCAAGATCCCGAGAGGAGAATGGAGGAGAAGGGACTGCGGCGTGACCATCCCCCCTGGGGGGTGATTTCTCGCTTTCTGTCTCTATGTCTCTGTCTGTCTGGCGAGCGCAGGCGCCCTATAGCGAAAACCTCTCCAAAAAAAAAAAAAAAAAGATGTTAGAAGAGATAGCTCACTTAAAAGAAAGGGCTCTGAAAACCAAAAAAAAAGGAGTCATAAAAATTCAAAAAGTCTAACAATTAGGCCATTTAGGATCAGAGTACAGAAACTGATATCCCTTCATAAGCTGTTCCCGAGTTATTTTTTTTTAATTAAGTTTATTTCTTTCAGGAGCGAGAGACAGAAAGACACCTTCAATGAGGTCATCACATCATGATCCATCCCCAGCTTCAGCCATCCCTGGATAATGAGGACATAGGAGCCTGGTGTATTCAGGGAGGTTTCCGGATGCAAACTCAGAACCTTCCTATGTGGGTCAGCCTCACAGATCATAACATCACCACTGTGCCCCCATCTGGCTCCTCATTCCAGTGGAGATTCCATACTCTATGACGGGGCTATCTTTCCCTCATCCAACCTTTAATTCTGAAATAGTTCAAACCTTATAAAAAGCTAGAATAGGGGCCAGCAGGTGGCATAGTGGTTAAGGGAGCTGGATTTCCACACAGCTGATCGCAATTCAAGCCCCAGATCCAGCTAGCTTTCTCACTTTCCCTCTCTCTTTTTCTCATTCTGTCCCTCACTGGTCAAATTTAAAAAATTAAAAAAAAAAAAAAGTTAAATAATTCTTTTTTAAAAAGCTAGAATAATAATACAATCAACTGGGTTTTTACATTTTTTTTGAGAGGGTTTTGCTATAGGGTGCATGCACTCACCAGAAAGACAGACAGAGAAAAAGAAATCACTCCCCAGGGGGCATGGCCACGCCACAATCCCTTTTCCTCTATTCTCCTCTTGGGATCTTGGACACGCATGCACATGCACCCGGCGTGAGTTTAAGCCACCGGGTCCAGGACTCGAACTGCAGTAGGCTACATGGAGCTCCAGTGACATAGCCATTACGCTAACTGCTGGTCCCCAAAATGATGACTTAATTCTATTATTAATTTCTCATTTATTAGCAGGCATTATTCTTCAAGAGCCCCCCCCCACCGTCATCATTTTTCAGATTATCACAAGGTAGTGTGGACACTAAATTTTTAAAGATGGAATTAAGGGAGCCAGCAGGTGGCGTCATGGTTAAGGGTGCTGAACTCTCACATGGTCAAATGCAGTTCAAGTCCTGGATCTGGCAGCTTTCTTTCTCTCTCTCCCCTTCTCTCTCTCTCTCTCTCTCTCTGTCTCTCTTTGATAAATTAAACCAATAAAAGTTAAATAATTCTTTAAAAGAAAGATGCAATTAAGTTAAGCTTTTATCTGTGCTAAATCTGTGTTAACACATACATATGTGAAAAAGTATACCCACATAGACATAAAAGTACCCACAAACACAAATACATATGTGATCATAGAATACTTAGGAAGGGGGACCAGCAGTTGGCATAAAGGCTATGCCGCTGGACTTCCATGTAGTCGATCGTGGTTCGAATCCCAAATCTGGTGACTTAAACTCACTCCAGGCACGTGTGCATGCATGCCCAGGATCCTTAGAAGAGAGTGAAGAAGGGATTGCGGCGTGGCCATCCCCCTGGGGGGTGATTTCTCACTTTCTGTCTCTCGGGTGAGTGCACATGCCCTAAAACCTCTCCAAAAAAAAAAAAAAATTATTTTTCACTGTTCTCTTTTTTTGTACATTTAAACTATTATTATTTATTATCAGTACAATATGTCAGTTAGTAAATATAAACAAATAAACAAAATCTCAATACATAATTATATCACAGAAACATATTTAGAAACTTTCATGAGGGGTTAACAGGTGTCACTGTGAGTAATGCACTGGACTCTCACGTGGTCTACCACTGTTTGAGCCCCAGACCTGTTGGCCTACTTTCTTACTTTCTCTTTCTCTCTCTCTGTCTCTGGTCAAATTTTAAAAAATAGTAATAATGGGAACCAGCAGTTAGCATAATGGCTATGTGGCTGGACTCCCACGTAGTCAACCGTGGTTCGCATCCCAGAAGCATTGGCTTAAAACTCACGCCGGGCGCGTGTGCGTGCGTGCCCAAGATCCCGAGAGGAGAATGGAGGAGAAGGGATTGTGGCGTGACCATCCCCCATGGGGGGTGATTTCTCGCTTTCTGTCTCTATGTCTCTCTCTCTGCCGGGGAACCGCCTCACCCCTACAGCAAAAAAAAAAAAAAAAACCTCTCCAAAAAATAATAATAATAATAACCACAAATAAAATTAATAAATAATTCTTTAAAAAAACTCTAAAGACATGCAAATTATGCCAATAAAATTATTTTTCTTAAAGAATTATTTTATTTAACTTCATTTATTTATTTTCAATTTGATCAGAAAGGGACAGAGAAGGAGGGGGGAGAGAGAGAGGTAGAGAAGGAAAGTGAGAAAGCAAGCTGCCAGGTCTGGGACTCGAACCATAGTCAGCCATGTGGTAGTCCAGGGCCTTTAACTACCATGCAATCTGCTGGCCCCATGCCCACAAAATTCTAATTCAACAACAAAATTCTAATTCACTGGGACAGCCTTACTAAGTTTGAGGTTTTGGGATAAGACTCATGTCAGGGGCTGGCAGGTGGTGTGGTGGTTAAGGGTGCTGGACTCCCACATGGCAGACTACAGTTTGAGTCTCGGACCTGGTGGCTTGCCTTCTCACTTTCTCTCACTCTCTCTCTCTTACTCTGTCCCTCTCTGGTCAAATTAAAGTAAGTAAATAATAAATTTAAACAGAATATTTAAAAAAAAGACATGTCAGCAGGGAAGCTGGTTTGAGGAGCCAACTGTTCTCTTCCAGAGAACAAATAGCAGGTAAGGGGGCCTGGCTGTGAGGCTGCATACTGCCAGGATGCTGTGCTCCACAGGCTGTGATCACAGGGGAGGCCCAGGTTCGATTCCTGGTGTAACCTAAAGGCTAGGCACAGTGCAGTACACCTACAATCTCAGTGACTTGAAATTGGCTAAGATGGGAGGATCACAAGCTCCAGGCTGGCCTGGGCAATATAGTAAGACCCTATCTTAAAAAAAAAAGAGAGAGCCAGGCAAGGTAGTACACATCTGGAGTCTCAGTCAAGAGGCTACACTGGAGAACTGCAACATGCCTTTCAAAAAAAAGCCTGGGCCAGCAGGTAGCGTGGTGGGTAAGACACTGGACTCTCACATGACCAACTGAGGTTCTAGTCTCAGATCTGGCAGCTTGGAAATCACACCAAGCATGTGTGCATGCATGCCCCAAATCCTAGAAGAATAGAAAAAAAAAGGAACTGCAGTCTGGCCATCACCCCTGGATGGTGATTTCTCACTTTCCCTCTTAAAAAAAAAAGGCTGGTAAGAATGTTGAGTCAATTCTTTATTTTGAGATCTTTTTGCTATAGGGCACGTGCACTTGCCAGGAAGACAGAGAGACACAGAGAGATAGAAAGCCAGAGATCACCTCCCAGGGGGGATGGCCAGCCGCAATCCTTTCTCCTCTATTCTGCTCTCGGGATCTTGGGCATGCATGCACACGTGCCTGGCGTGAGTTTAAGCCGCTGAGTCCAGGACTTGAACCGCGGTCGACTACATGGGAGTTCAGCGACATAGCCATTACACTAACTGCTGGTCCTGAGTCAATTCTTATTTGACACAAAGATCACAGTTTTCCTTGTAGAACAGAAGAGAGGACACATGTAAGAAGTTTAACAATGGCTATTTTTGTAATTACTAAACACTACCCATTCTACTTACTGACTTTTGATTCCGTCAAGTATCAAGTAAGATTGTTGACCTTGCTGATGAGGAGCGAGGTAGAGGGCCAACCTAAGGAGATTAGGCTCTTTCTTCCTGTTCCCTCTGAGTTTTTATGCCTTTTAGATAGGATTATGGTCAGGCATACGTCTCTAAAAGCAAGTGCTGCTTTTCAAAATACAGATGTTGAGGGAACCAGCAGTTAGCATAATGGCTATGTCACTGGACTCCCACGTAGTCGACTGCGGTTCGCGTCCTGGACCCGGTGGCTTAAAACTCACGCCGGGCGCGTGAGCGTGCGTGCCCAAGATCCCGAGAGGAGAATGTAGGAAAAGGGATTGCAGCGTGACCATCCCCCGTGGGGGGGGTGATTTCTCACTTTCTGTCTCTATGTCTCTTTCTGTCT